CGACAAAGTCCTAAAAGCCAGCCAAGCGCGTGGAAAAATGAAGCGGTATAATGTAGGTGGGACTATCATTTTACCAAACTCCGATAACAAAGGTGGACCCCCAGAGGGCGGAGGAGTAACAACTTCGAAAAAAAGCACCCTCAAAACGCTGCTGTGTTGGAGTATTGTCGTTGGGATTTGTCAAAGACTAAGGAAAGGAAAGTACAGTCAAAAATTCCCTGTTCGTGCAAGTTATGGGTTGAGGCATCAGACCAGCTCTCAGACACTTGGAAAAAAACCTAGTGATAAAAAACCCAATCAAATGCCTCGGACAAATAACCTTGAGACTCCCAAGCAAAAAGAGCGGACCATGCGTTTTGGGGCAAGGAACGTACAATGTGTCCCATTGAAGATGGGAATTGGGGTTATCTGCTAAACTCGTAGAGGAAATTTTTTTCTTATTCCACATTCCCGGATAGCAGATATCAAATAGGTAAAAATTGTATCTGACGCAGTTTTTTACGTAGATTTCGTTGGCGTGCTGGATTTTTTTTCCGAGGTACCGTTTAAGAGATAAATCAACGATATGACACAAACTTCAAACTTTTTTAAATGGGACACCCTGTAAATTTTTACATATTTGGAATATGCATAAAATTACCTTTCCAATGATATATAATTTCGTAATTTGCCAATATTATCATGGTATATGAAACTTGCCATATAAGAACCCTTGGAAATCGGAAATCGCATTGAATATTTTGTTTTATTTTCTGGTTCAATATGTGAGAAACTTATGTTTATGCCGAGGCTCAAAGAAGTTGATGACAGATTATTTGTGGGCACTTGATTCTGCAACTTTGTTCCCATTTGGTACACCCTGCATATCTTCAATGGTTTTGTGAAATCCCCATGTAGGTACTTACTTCAAGTTATTCTAAACACCCTGTATTTGAATAACCTAAATCACTCACAGGTTCAGGGTTAAATTTTTTCAACATACCGATGACACAACTATTTTCTGGCATGATCCCGATCCTGAAATTCTTGGGTCTTTGGTGATATCTGAGTTGGCTGTCATGATGGAGTGGTGTGCATCGTGCATCTAACAGGCTGGTTTTTAATGCTAGCAAGACTAGTATCCTAGAATTTAGGTGCGATGTGGAGAACCTCTATCTCGAGGATGATTATCCTCTTCATAAATTCATAGTAAGAATGAGTGCCGTTTCTTGTGTCTGCTTATTGCCGTGAATTTTCGATTCGAGGCACACATTCTCAATGTTTATCATAAACTATCATCTGGGTGTTTTGCTTTAAAAAGCTGCCTAAGCGCGGGCTGGGTAAGTCTGTTGCACGGACGGTTTATTTTGCACTTGTGGAGTCTGATTTACGGCATGACTTGCCTTTTTGGGGTTTCACGACTAAATCGCAGGTGAATGCTGTTCTCACCTCGCAGAAAAAGGCTCTGGGGTACGCGTCTGGAGCCAGTTTGAGGGAGAACCGTGCAAGCCATTATCTGTTTTAGAGAGAGCCTTGATTCTAGCGTATCTGTTCATCTTAGATACCTCTGTTTTGATCCACAAATATCGTAATGATTACGATGCCACCAATCATAATTATGCAACTCGTGGAAGACACAATATTCCACTTCCTATTCCCTATTCCGTCGAGTACACTACAAGGCGTTCTGTTGTTTATGAGAGCAGAAGCGTATATACAATCATCATCCTGGGGCAATTGAGGACATGCAAATTTAGGCGTAGATTGAGGAAGTTTTTGCTTACCAACGGTTACTATAACTTGGATTTTTTTATTTTTTTTGCTTTTGCCGCCATTTGTTCGAAATTTCCGGCAGTTCCGGTGGGAAATGTTGGTGGGAAGTGAAAAATTCGAAATCAGCGACCAAAAAAAACATAAGGTAAGCTCATAAAACTAAATCCTACTATTTTTTCTAGGTAATATTCTCCATTGCCTGGAGTATTGTTCACAAGATAAACTAGAAACTTATCGCCAAGCGACGCTGCATGTCGCGTTGCGGTTAACTGATCACCGACGAGTTACTAACTGCTTACCAGCGCGTTGCGTTGTGTGCGGATGCTCATTGAAATACACAAGCGGCAACTGATAAGCAACTGATTGACGATTCAAGTTTCCTTTAAGTTTCTTTCCAGTTGCCTAGTGTGCGGAAGGCCTAACCGTCTATAAGATAAATTTGCCATAATCTCATCCTATTTGTCTGCGGATAACTGGCCAACCAATAGGATTATGTATAGATTACAAGTTTATCCGTTAGATTGCATCATCTTTTTTTTCTTGATGTTAAAGCAGAGGTTTAACTATAAAGTGTAAATTTAATATAAACTATTACTTTGTGTCTCATATCAAAAAACTATAAGTTTGTCATACCAGAAAATAAAACCAAATATTCAGTGATTTGCAAGGGTTCTTATAGAAAGTTTTAAATACCATAATAATATTGGCAAGTTACAAAATAATATAGACAAATTATATATCATTGGAAAGGTAATTTTGTGCGTATTCTAGAAATATGAAAATTTACAGGGTGTCCCATTAAAAAAAAAAAGTTTGTGTCGTATCTCTTAAAGGGTACCTCGGAAAAAAAAACTCCAGCACGCCAATGAAATCTACGTAAAAAACTGCGTCAGATACGATTTTCACCTATTTGATATCTTTTTTCATACGCTAGATAATGATTACCCTTGAAAAGTGAACATTTCAAGTTTCACCCTGTATCTTCGAAACGGAAACGAGACTTGCGGTTTGCGGCATTCAATCCGTCATGAAAAATTGGCCCGGGAATGTGAAATCAAACAAAAAATCTACCTCGACGAGTTTAGCAGAAAACCCCAATTCCCATCTTCATTGAGACACCCAGTACAAGAAATGACTCGAAAACTAAAAGAAATCACGCACGAAGTTGGTAGAATGAGATTGAGAATAAATGATAAAAGACGTAGCAGTAGTAACAGAAACAATGAAAAAAGGGAGAGGATTTGAAAAATCAAGGACTATTTCTAGAGCAGATGAGCAAAGGAAAAAAAAACTTTCAACAAGGAGTATACATGTTGGTGAGCAGAAGATTACGAAAGTTCATCATCAACTGGGAAGCCATAAACCAAAATCTGATAAATGGGTAGGTATAGACTTACGATGTAGTGAATGATGATGCAAATTTAGTCACAAAGGACAGCTTTTTTGGGGATATCACCGGAGAAATATCATCAGTCAGTGCTTCCAGACAGATACTGGTCTTAGGAGACATCAACAGTCGAACAGGTCGGAACCTGGATAGTCTCCCTATTGACTAACCGATTCATTGCGCACAGACAGACCTGAAAATTCAAAATAGTTTCTTCCAGCAGTTCCAACACAAAAACATACATAAGTACACTTGACCCAAAATTAAAAATCAATCATCGATTACCTAATGACTAAACAAAAAACGAAACTAAAAATACAGGATGTCGAAGGCCATCGTGATTCGTGGGGTAACATGCGGAAGTGACTACTATTTCCTGATAGCCAGAATCCACTTTTCCCATCAGAGACAAAGCCGGTATCAGACCAGTGTATTGACTAGTGTAAATATAATCTAAAAAGCATTCCTAGAGCAAGACAGCATAAAGAACTTGTACCATTGCCTTTCGCAAGCCCAGATGAAAAATACGAAGAAGCTGAATTGAAACAAGCATTCATCAAGCCGTGAATGAAGCACTATGTCGAAAAGAGAATAGAGCTGGTGGGATGAAGAGATTAAGAGAGAAATCGGGGATAAAAGAATACGTTTAAAAAAAAGATCAGAGTTTACAACATTACAGGAACGGGCAAATGCAATTAGCAATAATGATAGCGCCAGAGACAAATAAATCATGCCTCTGTGACTCTAACGAATAGCCATCAATACTCTATCTCTATTCGCATCTTCCTTTTATTTATTTCGATAAGGAAGACGAAGACTGTTCAGAGTTCCAGTCAGACCGAAGAGTTGGAAAGTTATAAGAACATTGAGGAAATAAACATCTATGGATATTATATCTCCAATAGCAGATCATGAATGGGATCAAAACTTTGAAAAACACAGAACATCGAGCAGAATTTCAATAAGACGTCCCAGATATGATCAAAACTATCCCTGACACTTCCTCAGTCTAGGAAATTGTACAAAAACCTAAAGAACGGGAAAGAAGGAACAGAGCTGAGAACGCATACAAAAATATGGAAAAAGAAGGGCCAGTTGGGCTTAGAGCGAGAAGATCGAATGTGCACCATCAGAGGACAAGACCAAAAAAGGTTTATATGCTACCTAAGCGGATGGAGAGGCTAACAAATCAGAGAATACTGGAAATAATGTCAGTGCAATAGTGGACGAGATCAGGATAAAACAACTGGTATGTTACGAGCATATACAAAAATGGGAATCCTCCAGTGGCATACTCAAATGGAAGAAGGAAGCGAGGAAAACCTAAAAAAGCCTGGAGAGTAGGCACGGATAATGAAATTCGCTAGAAGATGAAGATTTTTGGGAAGATAGAAACGACTGGAGGATTATTGGAATCGGAAGACGGAGAACATTGCGAAACCGAATAACATGATATATATTTAGCTGGACCACCTTCTGGAACTAACAAAGAAAACCTGAAATGCATAATGGACTTTTTCAGTAAATGAAACTGAGTAGTTGCCATACTAAATCAAGACGCATTCACAATCGTACAGGTTCTAGTAACAAATGTGTTCACCATTCTTCTAGAACTGCTTTATGTCTGTTTAAGAAGAACTAATACATTCATATCACGTTCATGCTACTCCCTGCTAGAAGGATTATACATAGACATATTATTACTTATATACCTATTTTTATCGATTTTGAAACCTAACAGTTAATTCGCTTAAGTGGAGAAAAGAATGCAAATGAATGCAGTAAAAGGTACTATAAACCCACGACTATAAGAAGCATTAATGTACACACACATCATCATCATCCTACTCATTTTCTTGAGTTATAGTGTAGCATATTGTTTTCTGATTTAGTGTAGAAAGCGCGCAAATTAATGTAGAAAAAAGTATTAACACTCATGCAGAGATACGTATCAAAAATAAATATCCACTCATACATGCTTCACACTTTTAAATAATTATTATCCTACCAGCAAATTCCAAGCGTACATAAATAATTCAATGCCGATCAACAACAATTAGCACACCGCATGCACCAACAACTGCACACAAAACTCCATAATAATAGTACTACTTTGACCTTGATCTTGAATCTAAACTGCCGAGACCTCGTTGAAGTACTACTCCGAAATCCGGCTGTACAGAATCTCCTAACATATCAAAGGCGACTGCGGAAATTAATGAATGAATCGGAAACCCACTACGTATATTGGTAGGAGTACCGGTACGACTTTGGATTGGTAGATACCACGCTTCTCCTAACCAAGAGAACGCGAGCTGGCACCCCTCTTCTTCTTTTTAAGTCTGTAGTAAACCGATGTATATAAGCAGTATACTACAAATATTACTCCAATAAATATATCGTGCACTCTTGAACACTTAAAAATAAACTTTGTATTAGTATACCGCCAATAACAACAAAATAAACATGTTCGTTTACAGTGCCTCAATTTTAATTAATATACTTAGTGAGGATGCTACAAGAAAAGTACTTTTAGTGTTTATGGCAGTTTTATTATTAGTGAGATCTCTTCAATCTTGGCTGGAAAGCAGAAGCTTGCCACCAGGTCCTTGGGGAGTACCGGTGTTCGGTTCCCTGCTGAAAATTAAAGGTGATTTGCACCTTTTCTACAGGGACTTAACTCACAAATATGGCTCACTTATTTCCACAAGGCTTGGTTCCCAACTCATCGTTGTACTTAGTGATTACAAAACCATCCGAGATGCATTTAGAAAAGAGGAATTTACTGGCAGGCCCAGTACTGAACTCACCAATATTTTGGATGGTTACGGTAAGTGTTTGTTTTTAATTTTTTTAAAGCAATCCTCTTTTTGATCATAACAATAATTACAACTTTAAATTGACACACTTTCTTATAATTGGCCTTCAGCAGGTCATCTCGAAATTGCATATACATACGTACGACTCAGTTGCCCGATATATAAGCGTTATCAGTCTTAACCTAGTTTCTGAAAATTGATAATAAAAAACCGATCCTCATTAGCGCCATATTTTATTATTTTCTTTTTTTGTACTTTCCAAAAAAAAATCTGCTGGAGAAAAATAAGTGTCACAGTATTATTTACCTACCTTTTACACCTAATTATTTTGTTAATGCTAAAAATTATTTTTTTTTGTTTGGGTTGTTAATTATTTAGGTACTTATGGTCTTAGAGAAAATTTCCATGGATTAATTTTTTTACACTGACAAAAATGAGAAACAAAAAAAAATAATAAGCAAAATGACTAATGAGTCAAAGCCTATCAAAGTGTTTTTTTTTTTCTTGTAAAAATTATAATATCTTATATGGGCACTTATCTATCGTTACATAAATAAAAGCTTTACAATTTTTTACTTTTTTTCTAAGGTATTTGTTTTGTATTTTGTATCACCTATACAAACAATTTCAATAGGTAAGATTTGAAGTAGGCCTTTGTTTTCATTTAGGTTGTTTTGAATGCGGTTCAATTTTATTATCAACAAATACTTAACTATTTCAACAAACTAAAAAAAAAAAATAAGTTTGCTGATTGAATGCCGCTAACTTACCAAATATTGCTGATAAGGTATAACAAAATACAAGAAAACATAAATCATATTTAATCGCTGAATTTAAAAGTCATTTCTATTTCCAGGAGTAATCAACACTTCTGGGAAACTATGGAAAGATCAGAGAAGATTCCTTCACGATGGCTTACGTCATTTCGGCATGTCGTACTTGAGCTCGAGAAAAGCACAAATGGAAAAACGTATTGTTAGTGAAGTTGACGATTTTCTAACAGTTTTAAAAGCCACTAATGGACAACCGATAGACTTGAACCCAGTGCTGGCCGTGTCTGTTTCCAATGTCATATGCGACGTTCTTATGTCGGTTAAATTTTTCCATAACGATGCCAGATTCAGTCGGTTCATGGAACTTATCGAGGAAGGCTTTAAATTGTTTGGATCGTTAGAGTACGTTTTCTTTATTCCCATTTTGAGATACCTGCCAACACATAGCAAAACTCGAGAGAAGATTACACTGGTAAGCAAGCCCTTTTTTTATTACCATTTTCAACAATTTCAATCCTTATGACTTGTACTAAATAGCACGCCCAGTATATCATGCCCTGTAGATAAAAAATAATTTCACTACTTGCTGCGGATGAATAGTTATTAGTCACAATTATGGTGATAAATTGTGTTATTAGGCGAATACTTATTCAGCCTTGGCCTTAAATTACCAGTTTTCGATTTATCCTGCCATCAAATTTTTATCATCTCGCCCATATTAGTTTGTTTTTATTTTGTTATTTTATTTTGTCTAACAAATATTTTTTGCATCACTGATGGTATTTTATAAATGTTATACGTATAAAGTGTTGTTGTACCCTTTTCAAAAGTCGCTTATAGGTAATTTAATAATTATTTATACTTTTCGTAATTTTAATTATTCTAATTTTTGTTTGATTTATGTTTTTGTTTTTGATATAACAGAACATTGGTAAAAACTTGCCTAGAAGTTCAAATGTCCTTTAATTATAGGCATTTATCAAAATCAATGAAACTAGCTCAAATTGGCCAAAATTGCCCCACAAGCAAATTTTCTTTGGTACAGTTCAGACACTGGTGATTATTGCTTCACATATGGAAACCAAAGTTAGACAATAACTTTCAAAAAAAAAATTCCATTCAGAAATTACCCAAAAATGTACATTTCAATAATATGTCAAAAGCATCTCCCACACGACAAACCATCGTCCAAATAACTTATTGCTAAATTAATCTTCATTTAAAATTTTTACCCAAAAATATTAAGTTAAGTAATTTGTCTATTACAGAATCGCAAAGAAATGGCACAATTCTTTCAAGACCAAATCGATGAGCACAAAAGAACATTTGACCCCAGCCACCTCCGTGACCTTTTGGATACTTACCTATATGAAATTCAAAAAGCCAACGAAGAAGGTGTTGGTCACCACTTGTTCGAAGGAAAAGATCACGGTAAGCAACTTTGAATTTAAAATACATAGGTATTACATATTTTTCGAATTGAAAACCACATACCACATCGTTATTTCGTAAAAGGAAAAATGTATAAACCGTAGTTATGCAAATTGATGGTATTTTTTTTCAGTTGCGTATAGTAAATTCAAATGAGTTTGTTGACACTTAATAGTAGTAAAATATAATTAATTATTTTTCTTGTTTGTTTCCAGATCGCCAAATGCAACAAATTATGGGGGACTTGTTTTCTGCCGGTATGGAGACAATTAAAAGCTCTTTGCAATGGGCTGTTCTGTTTATGTTGCACAATCCTGAACATATGAAGGCAGTACAAGAAGAATTGGATCAAGTCGTTGGTAGACAGAGGTTACCCAAGTTAGAAGATCTAGCTTATTTGCCGGTAACTGAATCTACTATTTTGGAAGTTTTGAGGATTTCTAGCATCGTTCCAATGGGCACCACTCATTCGCCTATCAGGTAAATACAAACTGCTTATTTATGTTTTATCGGGTGAATTGGTGAGTTATTTATTGTTGAAACCACTTGAATTACCGGTTAAATAATTATAATTATAATATAAACATAAGATAATGGAGTGAGAGGTTCTTCATAAAAATGTGGATCAGTTTTATCATCAACTATAAAAAGCATATTTATATCTGCAAACAATAACATTTTTACTAGCATTCTAGGTCATCTCTTATGTTCGTTTAATTTTAGAGTTTTGATAAATTAATATTATCTTTCGGATTAATTGTATTACTTAATATACACTTATTAAGTAACTATTTCCTACGCATTAGAACCTTCGATAGATAAAATATGGCACCACACAAATTTTTAAGCGCATTTTATCGTTGAAAAACAAAACATTATATACAAGGTGTCCCTGTTCAACTGGTCAAAAATGCTAGGGTATATAGAGGAACCATAGAGAAATAGTTTGAGATAGGACACCGATGGTCGGAAGTGCGTCGTTTCCAAAATACAGGGTGTTGAAATTTGAACAACCCCCTTTCTATCATCTGAAGGGCTAATGCTAGGCTGTTCAAATTTTTAGGAATTATTGATGTAGGAATGATATTTAAAAATTCGTATAATGCACCCCCATTTTCTACCTGGAACCACCCAAAAAAAAAAAAAAATTAAAAAAAAAAAATTTGACAAAAAGCAATTTGTTTCAATTTTTTTTTTTTGGGATGGTTCCAGGTAGAAAATGGGAGTGCATTACATAAATTCTTGAATTTAATTCCTAAATCAATAATTCCTGAAAATTAGAACAGCCTAGCATTAGCCCTTCAGATGATATGAGAGGCGGTTGTTTAAATTTCAACACCCTTTATTTTGGAAACGACGCACTTCCGACCATCGGTGTCCGATCTCAAACTACTGCTCTATGGTTCCTCTATATACCCTAGCATTTTTGACCAGTTGAACTGGGACACCCTGTATTTTGGTCTCTTATGCCGATAAAATAAAATGTTGTGAGAGAATGTCATATTAAAAATAAAAAAGTCAATTTCGTGTTCCGATTTTGTTAATTGTTATCTAGGAAATGTGATAATAAATAGAATGGAGCTTGCGTAAACTTTAACCAAAATCATGTACCTGTATCAATTGGCGACGCATTTTTTTTTGTCTTGCAAAAAGTTTTGCTTGGTTTTACCTAGATATTTTGATCAATTTAAGAACTCTTCCTGAACAAAGAAAAAAATAAATATTTTTCTGAGGAAATGCAATCTTTTCAATTTTCACCTTCGAAAAAGGTGAAATCCTCAGTTACATTGAAAAATATTTTTCTATTAGGTATCCTTTTCTCGACCTTTGACCAAGATAAATATATGAAAATATTTTAATAATTCAATATCGGTACTGGACTTGTAAAAGCAAATATAAAAAACTTATCTTTTGAAAACTCAAGAAGAAAGAAATCCTCATCATCGATCTCCAAAATAACTGTTTCATGATAGTTTAATTGCAATAATATTATTATTAATAATTTTTATTCATCTTATCTTATCAGCTTAATTATGGCCTAATTTAAAATACTATCACTTCAGTGAATTTCCAATTTTCGGAAAAAACACATAAATATAAACAGATAGGTAATACTTATACATTATTGAGTATCTTCCTCTCAAATAGTATCATAGCAGCAATTAAGCAATTTTTGCACTGAAAATAATATTTGAATTTTTCCATCTATTTTCGGAATGAATATGTCGAGGAATATGTATATCCGCAGACCTCAGAAATGTTTTTTTGCTGAATAATGATGATTGGTAGTCAACTTAAACTGATACATCCTGATATAGATATACATAATCATTATTCCTAGAACAGATTTCGGCTTTTCTAAAGTATAAAGAAAATTAAACTAATTAAGCACTTCTGCAGATAAGCAAATGTGACGTTTTATCGATTGTATGTACTCAAATTCTTCGATATTGAAAAATAATTCATTTTAAAAAGTATTTTTATATTAAATTTTTTTGTATTTTCCGAGAAATCTCAGAATGAAAATAGGGTTGTGTTACCTGGTAATTTTGGGCTAAGTTTGAAAATAATCTCAGACGAAACCACCGGCACCCCACTTATTTAAAAGCTCAAATAACTCGGTGGGGAATTGCCATCACCCCAACAAGTGAGCCAACAATCCCTTCGGAAGAAACCTCAATTTCTTGGACAAAACCTTAACAAATTAAAAAAATATATAGGTATATAGTATATATATGAAATAAATGTTTTCTAATACTCAATAATTAATACGCTAGGTACCTATATCTTGTTGCTCTTTGAAAAAGACATTGAACAGGCAATCTGAAATTACGCAGTAACAATTTGCGGTTTCAAATTAAAAGCAAATAAAAAAAAAATTTAATTTTCAATCACACGCACTTGCCATTTTAAATTAAATTTTATTTCAAATTACAGTTTCCAATAATTAATTTAAAGCAATATAAAATTAAATGTTTGCCTTGGCGTCCATTTACTCTAAATACAATGTTCTTCAAAAGTCCCTCGTATTAATATTCACAGTAAAACCGGGTAATAAATCCAATAGTTAATTATCTTCCATCTCTCCCTTCAAAACATCTAGCTTCCCTGACTTCTTTTCTAATGACAATCTAGGTCTATGTACAGTTGAATGGCCACCACACACATTTTACAATTTTTTTTTTTTTTGATAGTTCAGAACCCCAAAATATTTGCAATGATCATATAAGGTAGTTTCTACAAAGGTCAAATAGAAGATTGCTATTCCATAGAGAATGTGGGAATGCATTTTTTCTGAGATAAATTGTGTATGACCTTTTAAATATACAAAAACATTTTAACACGTCTCTAATGACACTCGTTTTTTGTATGAACTTTTCAAGAGTTTCAAGGAGCTCCGACTGGACCTGGATTTTAATCCTATGTGATCTTACCATCCTAAGCATTTTTTCAACGACTAAATAAATACCTACGAGTTTTAATTGATATAACATTTTTAGTTGCCTCCAATAAACTTTTTATTGCTGATTATGACAATGCAATCGATAATTTAAATTTACACCTGCGAAAAAAGTGAAAGTCCTTGTATGCCTAAAATTCATTTATATATTTTTCGGTCAACGAACTTTAACAGCAGCATACTGTCAGACGATTTCTCAATTAAATGTCGTAACTAAACGCAAAAATACTTTTTAATACTCTGTGTACCAGCTGGTTTTGCGCAACACCTAGCCGGGGCTTTTGACCTGCCAAAACTGACTTTATATAACAAGGTTTTATTGATAATTTACTTTACTTGTTACAGAGATATCAAGCTAAATGGATTCCATTTACCTCGACATGCTCAGGTAGTGCCACTATTACACGCAGTCCACATGGATCCCACCTTGTGGAAGGAACCTGAAAAATTTGATCCGTCCAGATTCGTTAACGGAGAAGGCAAAGTCCACAAACCTGAATATTTTTTACCATTCGGAGTTGGAAGAAGAATGTGCCTAGGAGAAGTATTAGCAAGAATGGAAATTTTCTTATTCTTATCGTCACTTCTTCATTCTTTTAATGTTTGTGTACCTGAAGGAGAAACCCTACCAAATTTAAAGGGTATTGCTGGAGTAACGATCAGTCCGAAACCATACAGAGTGTGTCTAAAACTTAGACCAATGCAATGGGACAATGAAGACAATCTAAAGCCGTTTGCAAGACATTAAAGGGCAAGTGTTCAAGAGCACGGTCAGAATATTGTTCCTATTGTATGTCACAGTACCTAACAAAAAAAAAAAAAAAATTTAAAAATCCGAGAAAAAGGATCTTCGATTTTTGATCGGCTGTGCGTTTTAAAGTGTTCATAAATAAGTACCTACTTCTAGTATAGTTTGATAATATTGAGTGTTATTAATTATTTCATAGGTACTTCGTTTCGTTCCTTGTTTGTTAAGTTTTGTTTTAAGATAATAATATTTCCAATGGAAATGATTTTAAAAGCAACCCATAACAACCAAAGGCAATTGGGTTTAAGCCCTTTTGATATTTTACAGTACAATTGCTAGTCAAGCATGTATATAGAAAAATAATTCTGTAATTTTTACCAAGTTTGGCATCTCCACGTCTTTTATCGATTTTACCATTTTGACTTGACAGTTTTTTTTTAAATAAAATTCTGGTGGATTTGTAAGCTTTAACAGGGGTTACCACACCTTCAACCACGGTGTCGTATTTTTGTATACACTTTTATAAGGTTTTGATAATATTTTTCAATATTAAATTTGGTTTTTAAGTTGTTTCCAAGAAACAATAATTAAACATAATTTATTGTGATAATAGTTTTTCAGGATGTTTAAAAATATTAGTTAATCTTATTTTTACCATATTATCGTTTTCATTATCATAAAATATCATAACCATTACATACATACGTAATACATTATTATTTGTTTCGCAATCGTGTATTGTATGGTATACCATCTTTTAGAGAGAAAGACTTCATGTTATTAGGTTTTTTTTTGTTTTTCTACATTTTAATTATAATTTAAGCTATAATAAATTATTTTAATTTTACAAAAGCGTTTTTATAATGAGACTTGCAATCGAGATGTGTTTGAACGGAATTTCAAAGGTCAAAATAATTACATGGAAATAGTGAGATATTCAATAGGTGCAAGGTGAGATTTTAATTTACAATAAAAGAAAAAGGTATATAACAAACATTGTAACACGGTTAGCAAATTTTTCGGACAAACGATTCTGGAATGGAAAAGCCCTTTCAACTACTCGTATACTCTTCGAAACCATATCCCTAAATATATTATAACCCCAAAGAATAGAAATAAATCATCAGTAAAAAATATATATTAGGAATTTCCCCCGGTTTATTTATCTTCAGATAAACTTGCTGGTAACTATCTGCAAGATAAATTTACCGTTCTTTAATTCTATTGGTCGGCGGATAACTTGCCGACCAATGGATTGCGTTTTTTTTTTGTCAGATTGCATAACTGACACTTTATTTCAAGGTGAATAAACCAGCCCTTTAGCATGATAAAAATGCCAAACATGTCGATAGCTTCTGAAACGCATTGTTACGAAATTACTGCTTCAGAGAAGCCGATGCCGCTGTTAACGACCTGAGCGCGAATATTCAAAAATTCGATTGTGTGATTTGAATAAACATCAAACATTCACGAGATTTATTGACTGAATGTTTTTGTATATGAAGCGCCTAGTTTAGGTCAGGGAGTCATGGCAATTTGGTGTCAGAAGCGGCATTATTAGCGAGACAATAATTGGTGTATCAATTACAGCTTATTTGTGAAATATTTGACGAGATCCTAGTGGAATATAGTTTGAGCTAATTAGGAGGAGCTTGATTTACGAGATTGTTAGTAGATTGATTTGACCTAATAAGTGAAAACTGAAAACAATGAATGAGCTTCTTTTGAGTTGAAACAATGGCGAAAAGCAAGTCCACAAATATATTTTTTAGAACATTCGATCGTGTTCCATTTGAAATTTAGACAAGGTACGAGAATTTTTACTTCGCCACAGGACATTATATTTTTGTGTACAGGGTGGCCCAAATTCGAGCCTCATCATTAGGATCTCGGTAACTGTTAGAGATACAGGGTCGGTTAATCATCGCAAAGCTGAGCATTTTGATGCTTAACAAAATCCCGCTTTGATATTTAGGATTTTCCGAATACTTCCGGAGATATCCTGAGATAACTGACTTTATTTGAGGTGATATTTCAAAAAAATATCACTTCATCATAGCCCCTTTCTCTCCCCTACAAGATGCTACCATCAAATTTAAAAACGTTTCGTCTTTGGGCCACCATCATCAACTTTATTTTTCTAAATACGGACCCTTATTAGCTTCTGATGTCCCAATACCTATGACGTATCGCATTTGTTCAAAAAATTCACATTATTGGCACTTTCCATAAGAACTAAATGTGTTAGAGAGAGATCGGGAAGAGAATTTTGGTGGGAAATTACTGAAAAGTAAATTCGAATAAATGCTATGAGGTACCTATCGCATCTATTCGACACCAGATGCTCTTAAAATCTGAAATAAAATATCCTGGGTCGTATTTGAAAAAATTAGGTTGATGATGGTGGCTTAAATGTCCTAAATATCAAAGCGGCATTTTTATGAAAAATATCCGGAGAGAGAAATAAAAGCAAGAAGGAGGAATAATTCATCAAGAAGTTGGAACCTTTTGCAAAGAAATTGATAGTTTCGAGAAAAAAATTGAAAAGTTGGAATGTTACTTGAGATTAAGAAATGTCTCAGCTTCGCGTGCAACTAGTATTAATAATAATAAAGTTAAGCCACCACAGTGGTGGAGACAGTGGGGGTAGGGGGGGGGGGGCTGAAAGAAAGCTGGAAACCTATAAAAAAATCACACTTTTGTCTTTGTCCCAAGAACTTTAACCTCAAACAGTATATCATTAGTGGTTGAGTTGATGTATTGTTTTTTGTTCTAATAAATAAATATTCATACAAAATCAATAAGATTATGTACAGGGTGTTTTTTTATATATTGACATCCCACCTACAGCTTTTACCTTCATAGGTAGATGAAAGGTGTAAATACAAAAGTTGTACAGTATTGGCTAAATTTTTAAAATCCATGGTCAAAAACAAAAATTGAATGTCAGAAATGTGAAATATTGCATGCTTTCAGCTTTTTTCAAATGGGATGCGCTCGTCCCGCTAATCACCAATATACTATTGAACTGTTCAAGTAAGAGATTCACCTGAAATGTATAATTTTTAAACTAATGAGAATAACGCACATTTGAGTGAGTCAGTTTAATATCGTAATTAAACAACATATTGATGAAAAGATGGCTGCGGAACTCGCAGGTCTACCCTTAAGTTCCGCAACAATCCACTCGTTTGTACTTGAATAACTTATCACAATACTATTGAAAGGCAAATTGGCAAAAAGTGGACAATCTTACAAATTCTTACTTTATATAATAAGTTATTGTTCAAGTACAAATAAGTGGTTTGATGCGGAACTTATGGGTGGACCTCTGCGGGACGAGCGCAGCGAGTTCCGCTGCCATTTAATCACCAATATACTGTTGAACTGTATCGTAATTAAACAACATATTGATGAATAGATGGCTGCGGAACTCGCTGCGCTCGTCCCGCAGAGGTCCACCCATAAGTTCCGCAACAATTCACTCATTTGTACTTGAATAACTTGTCACATGGTACTAGTTTGGTAAAGTAACATTACTAATTCCTGTTGAAAGGCAAATTGACAAAAAGTGAATAATCATAATCTTACAATTTTTGACTTTATATAATAAGTTATTGTTCAAGAACAAATAAGTGAATTATTGCGGAACTTATGGGTGGATCTCTGTGTGACGAGCGCAGCTAGTTCCGCAGCTATCTACTCACCAATATACTGATGAACTATTCAAATAAGACACTCACCTGAAACTTGTAGTTTTTGAACTAATGAGAATAACTGACACTTGAGTGAGTCAAGTTAGTATCGTACTTGAACAACGTATTAATGAATAGATGACTGCGGAACTCGCTGCGCTCGTCCCGCAGAGGTCCACCCATAAATTCCGCAACAATCCACTCGTTTGTACTTGAAAAACTTGTCACAATATGTTACTAGTTTGGTAAAGTAACATTACTAATTCCTGTTGAAAGGCAAATTGACAAAAAGTGGATAATCTTACAAATTCTGACTTTATATGTTATTGTTCAAGTACAGGGTGTTTTTTTATATACAGGGTGTATCAGGTTTGACTACAAAAATTTTAACACGTGAAAATATGGCCGATTTTGAACAAAAAAAGTTTATACAACATGGGGTCCAAAGTCAACCATTTTTGAGGAAAAGGCCTTTAAAGTTTTGACATTTTTTAACGAATATTTTAAAGGTAAAGAAAATTTTAATCATTATGAGATGTAGAAAAATTTAGTTATTCCAATTATTAAGTAATTATGCATTTTTAGTCAACAACAATAACAAAAAATTGAAAAAACAACATACAAATTTCACTTGTGAAAGGGTATCTAAACACCTGGCAACACAGCACAATAAAGAATAGGTGGTTGAAGGTTGAACCTTAGTGTAGCTCACTGTCCTCGTGTAGCTGAATAAATTGATTCTTGATTTTCTAGTTGGGAAACGCGCGTGATTCAAATTCATTCTTTTTTGAAAATAAAATGTTTAGAAACATCGAATATGGAGATATTTGTTTGGGCAGAAACGTTGCAAAATGCTCATTTAGCCGCCAGAATTTACAAGGAAACTAGGAAAAGATTTCCCAAAAAAAACACCCACCTGATGAAAGAACATTATGCCCGTTTTGAAAAGATTGCGTGACACAGGAAGGACGTTTTGTGAGGGTGCAAAATCTGCGTGTTGATTTTAGTGTTTTGAGAACCTTTTAATAAAAATTAATATTTTCATAATAAGGATTTGACAAGTAGCTGAGTAAGTATTATTTGATTTTACTCTTGAATGTTTAGTGCAAAAATGTAATTGAGTGCAATTCACAACTTAATAAAACGGCACATTTTTTATTTTTACTAGAAAAGTGATAAAAATGCAAGTTATTATTTACATTATTTGAAAGCCAAGAACAAACCAAAACGTAAACAGATGGAAATAAATAAACTCCGTGCAAATTTTTTTTTTTAAATTTATCACTTTTATTTACATTTATATCCTGACAGAGTGTACATACAATGTTGTCACGTTGTTAACATTTTTCTAAATTTAAATTCTGCGATAACTCCGAAAATACTAACAATTGACCCATGGTTAATAGGAGAGTTTTAACTTGAAATGGGCCATATTATCTCGTGTTGAAATATTTGTAGTCATACCTGATACACCCTGTATTGACACCCCACCTACAGCCTTCACCTTTACAATTAGATGAAAGGTGTAAATGCAAAAGTTGTACAGTATTGGCTAAATTTTGAGCATCCATGGTCAGAAACAAAAATTGAATGTCAGAAATGTGAAATGTTGCATGCTTTCAGCTTTTTCCAAACGGGATGCCCTATATTTGGTTCTATATTCTTGAAGAGCACAATTTCCCGATTCCAAAACTATATAGTTCGTCTATATTTGGTTGAGCCGTCTCCAACATATTTGGTTCTAAAAATTTTGAAAATACTATCAGGGAAACCAAGTGCATACATTAAATTTTACCTGCAGCTTTCACCTGTACAGGTAGAATGGTTCACAAAATCAGTAGTAAGATAGTATTTTCACAATTTTTGGAGCCGAATATATGAGAGACTCTTCAATCAAATATAGACAAATTATATATTTTTGGAATCGGGGCATTGTGCTCTTCAAGAATATAGAATGAAATATAGGGCATCCCATTTGAAAAAAGCTGGAAGCATGCAAAATTTCACATTTCTGACATTCAAATTTTGTTTTTGACCATGGTTTCTAAAAATTCAACCAAAACTGTCCAACTTTTGTATT